AAAAAAAAAAAAAAAAAAAAAAAAAAAAAAAAAAAAAAAAAAAAAAAAAAAAAAAAAAAAAAGTAAAAAGATCATTTCAAGATCAAAACAAAACATAATCATAGATTGAGTGAGAATCAACACCTGTAAACAGCTTGAAATGCCTCAGAGGTAATCATATACATAAAGTTGTCGTTTGTGTTTAGTTGTGGAGAAACAACAAAACCCGACTCTGGTTTGAAAGCTTCAGGAGCTTCAAAGACTTCAATGGCGTTCACAAAAGCCAAAGACGATTCATGAGGACAAAATTGTATGCCAAAAACCCCTTTTTTAATCTCAAAAGCGAACTCCTTAACAATTGGTGTGCTAAGATCGCTGCTTTGGATTGAAAATTTTGATAGCAACTGAAACCCATTACTGGCCGAGACATTAAAGCGAGCTTGAAGGAAGCTTTGAGATGTAAGAGCCAAGAAATGGAGACGAACCACATAGGTGCTGTTTTGATTGATGCTTTCAAAAACATACCATGTTGGCTGATTGTAAACTCTTGCTGTGTGGTATATTTCATTTATGGATTTTGGGATATTGGTTTCGTTTCGAACGGATTTGCTTTTTCCGGGGTTGATCGACCAAGGACCGGGCTTGGCATCTCCGATGAACTTCCGGGTGCCTCCGAAGGTGACATCGGATTCCGATCCGCAGTTGAGAAAATACTTATTAGGAGGAAAGTAAGCTGAAGTGATGAGGAAAGAGGAAGAGAATTGAAGTAGTAGAGGAATGAGGTAGGGGAGTAAAGGCATTATTGCCGTTGGTTGGGAAAGAAAAGCTTGGCTCATTTGTTTTATATTACGAAAAGCTTGGCCTCAAGTTGTCTTTTAGCTTGTTGAGTCCCTTTGGCCTCCGTGGAAGGAGATGGATATTGGACAATAGAATATTCAAGCTCGGGTACCTACAACACCTACGAGGGTTGATGGAAGAAAAGTTACTCGGTTGCAAATCGAATGGGACACTGACTATAGACTAAATAGGAGTCTTGAAACAACAGTACACAATAATTGTCGACATGCTTAGACTAAATGTAGCAGATTTAGCTTGAATAAAGAGTTCAAGTGCATCGAGATATATAAGGAAGCGTTTGATACATAGGATAAGATTGTGAATTTTAAGTGCACCATATTAATATTTCATTTTTTTACACCTAGAGTCAACCAATCTAAAAGACATGCAAAACAAACCATTTCGACGTTACCATTTCAAGGAAGTGAAAAAGAATGTCCAATTGGGTCATAAGACTACTACTACGTCCTAGAACCACCACCATTTAACGCTATAAGGGAGGTGTTGGATGAGGAGACGTTGAAAATACCAACCATTGGACATATTGGAATTGGAACGTCGTCATGATCCGACACGAGGAGATTATTTCCTTTTCCTTTCACTCAATAATGATTCATATTTTACAAATGACAATTTAATTATGATTAAGGTAGGCTTGGAACAATGATGGATATGAACTTTCTCAAATTATTTATAAAGGAAAGACTTTGCTTTTCACATTGTTATTAAAGAAAGACTTGCTTTAGGGCTTCATTCATACTAAAAGCTATCAATAAAAGATGAGAGAGGGAAAGGAAAAAGTATCCCAAAAGCTTTTTGATATCAAAGAGATGATAAATAAAACAAGACCCTTTCTTTAGCTTTAAAAAAGATGTTTTCAACTTTCATACGTTCAACAAAGCACCACTTACATTGGGACCCCTAGGTGTCAATTAACTTATATTGGAAATTAAGTTATTTTACAAATTATTATGCACACAACTTTGGAACTTATCTAGCCTAAAGACCCTCCACCGACACTTTAAAAACGTGAAACTGACAACGATCCATAACTGGCGCTACTTTTTCTTATCACAAAGTGTAACCGTTAGTAGATACTGTTTACTTAAACCCATTATGTATCGTCGTCAATTTCACGTTTTAAAATGTATCTACTAGGGAGAAGTTTCCACACTCTTGTAAAAAATGTTTCGTTTTTCTCTCCAACCAATGTAGGATCTCTAGGTTAATATGATATGATAAAGTTTTAAAACGTATCTTATAGAGAGAGGCATATGATATGATAAAGTTATATATGAAATTTACTTGTTATGGGATAAGGATAAGCAACTAAACCAAGTAACATGCAAAATGATCATAATGCTCCTATGGTAACTTACCTTCGGTTCACAATCCAAAAAACCTCCAAATATCATGAAACTTTATAAGAAGCCTTATTTTATGATTTCTAAGAATTATGTAAATTTTTAGAACCATTGGATCATGTTTGGGGCTTGAACCAAGTTTAAGGTGATAAATGACCAAAATATCCCTAAAGTTTGTTTAGGATATTTCAAGGTTTAAACACCCTCCAAATGTCCCAAGATTTAACGAAAGGCCTATGTATAAGGATATGAAGGTTTACCTATAATTTAAAGACCATTTAGATAAAGTTTAGAACCTAAACCAAGTTAGGAGTATAAGTGCCGTACGTTAACCCCAAGATTTAACGAAAGGCCTATGTATAAGGATACGAAGGTTTACCTATAATTTAAAGACCATATTTAGATAAAGTTTAGAACCTAAACCAAGTTAAAGTTAGGAGTATAAGGGCCGTACCATAACCCCAAGATTCATGCATGTAAATGATTTCAATGGGCCTAAGTTTAGTATGACTTTGGGCTCACATGGGCCTCAAATGTTATAAAACTATTTTAGGTATTTTTTATTTTTTTAAGTAATCAATAAGTTACCTTAAGGCCATGAATCAATACTAGTAACTTTATTACACACATGATCTAAAGTAGCACTATATAAATCTAAAGTAGCACTATATAAATCTCAAGTCCGACTAGATACCATTCAAGAAACAAGAATCAAAGATAAGAACTAGGAATAAGGATTAAAGACAAGGACAAGAATCGAGAACAAGAACTAAGAATCAAGTATAAGAACTAGAATAAGGATCAAAATCCAAATTCTCATTCTTAAAAATTCATAACTACAGGACTAAGGTCCTTAAAGCATAACCAAGGTTAAGAAATAAAAACCCAGAACCAATATCCTTCGGCTAAACCATGACAAGAATTCAAGAATAGGATCTACGGTGATGTGTGAATGATATATATGGTTGTGTCATCAGGATGATTTAAAATGAAAACTATCAGGACCTCATGCATTTTTTGTGTTCATATACATCGGATTACTTTCTCATTTATGATGATAAGCACGGACGTGTACACTATGATGATGATGGTCGTCATCATCATCATTATCATGCCTCGCATGACACTCGAGGGTTTTCTGACCAATAGACGTCCGATTACGGACAGCTAGCCCTACTATGATGAATGTAGGGGGTGCGAACCACCTGGAGATTTGCGCTCGCACATGTGGATTATGTGTAGAGAAGTACTACACATCCAATTTTATTCAGACTTGAGGGCACCCTATAATGGTTTTAACGATAGGTCCTTAATTATGAGTTGCATGTGTTTGCATTCCCTGACCCCAATAGTGAGATCGCTTACTGAGTATTTCTTAAAATATTCAAGCCGTGTACTACTTCTATTTCAGATAAAGGCAAGGCACCCTTGTACAAATAACGACAACATCGCAAGTAAAGACCATGACACATGCATAGGATAATGGTCCATTCTTAGACTTTAGGTTAGAATATAGTGTTTTTACTTTTAATAGTTATTTATTTTATTTAGTATTTCGTTATATTACTTAAAGATGTTTTCTAAGTCCATGGCAGTGTTTATAATGAAGTTTTTAAATGTTTATTTTTACCTAAAAGAATATATTATAACGATGAGTGACTTTATGTGAATAGAAATCTAGGTATAATATACCATTTATCAAAAACATATCTTCCTCTCCATTTTTTCCTCTCCCTTCCTCTCATGTTATTAAAAAATATTTAATATATTTAAAAAGTGTAAAATTTTGATTTATTAATTTACATTTAATTTTTTTGTATTTTATAATTTTTCAAGAAAGGTTCATCGTCATCAATATTTTATTGATATTTACGTAATAGCGAGACCTTGATATTTTAGTTGACATTGAAATTTTAAACATTGATATTAAGTAACTTATTTCAAAATTCTCTGAAATCTTTAAAATATAACTCTTAAAATGATTCACGACCGAAGGTTAAGGATTTTCATTTTGAGCCTATACAAAATTATGTATGTTATCTTTGTAAAAGAGACTTGGAAAAGGAACCAAAGGGAGATTTTTTGTTTTCCCTAACCAATGGGTACGTTTCTTTACAATTTCTATTTAGTTTAGATTACATGTTTAGAATCATTCAAGTTTGACATGATCAAATCTCGCTTGTGTAGTGATTCAAATCTCAAACAAGTGTTCTTACCATGAGATATTCGTTCAATAAGATAATCTGAATCTTACTTCCCTACAATGATTCTCTATCACTTGGAAGTTTTTACTTTGATTGATTTTTGTCATTTGATATCAACTTTCGTTTGGTTTTATATGAAAATTATGTTAGAATATATATAAATAAATGATATTTATATTTGGTTCCTAGGAAAATGTCATAAAATTTTATACATTTGTATTTATTTGATGAAATTAATTATGGTAAGCTTATTTATATAACGTTAATGGGTTACCTAATAAAACAATTCAAATTAATTCCAAATATCACTAAAAATTAATTTTTTTTTGGAACCACTAACAATAAACGAATAATAATAAAAGAATCTTATTAATTGAATAATTGGTTATGATTTTAGTAATTAAGTTCATTAAATATTTCCTTGGATAAAAATGAATTAAATAAATATATAATTATTTATTATTACAATATGGTTCATTTTTATTAACTGTAAATTTAATTTAAATCAATTAATTATATTTAAAAATATAATACAATAATAGTGATAATGAATGAAGCAATTAAAATTTTGTCTTTTTTTTTTTAGTATAACTCAACTAATATAAAATACGGTCACTTAGAAATGAAAACATTCTAACTTCCAAAATAAAATTAATTTGAGCTATAATGACATTGTATACATTCATTACAGGATGAGACTTGATATTTATAGTCTTCCCCGAATATCTTATGCTAGGTTCTCATACAACGTTGAGGTGGAGATTTTGTGTGAGGGTCATGTGTTCCTCGACTCGATTCATACTTAGCTCAATAGACCCATTTGCATTCATTCTTCACTGTGAGTTCGACATCATAGGGCGTATGTGAACCATTGCCTACATAGACTTCTCATCTTTGTACTCGTAAACTAATAGTTGTACCTATTTAAATGCTAACATTTTTTTTATAAATTAGTGATTTACTATTACTTTTTAGTTGATTTCTTATTGTGCTTCAAACCCTATTCTCAATCATACAATATATTAGTCTGTAATAAAAAAGTCAAATATGATACATATGTTAAACCATAATTTAAGATTAAGTATCGTCAACAGATACAATTGCTTGCTTGAGATTTTAGTGATGATATAATCTTCATAGTTTATATAGGCGTAAATTGATTTTTTTCCTTTATAATTATTTCGTGATGGAGCGTGAAGCGTTCAACAAGCATGTTTCATGCTCAAACCAATCAAACTATTAGAATTCTCAACCATTAAATCTTTATACGCTTTTCTTTTCTTCTTTTTTAAAGTTGTTTATTCGACGCTATTCAGCCTTTTAGTTTTCTTGATTAATTATAGTTGTTTTGTTTTTTGGACCGACTAATATTTATTTGATTGCACTGGACTGTGTTACGGTAACAAACTTGACAACGTTGTCGTGATTGTTACACATTGTTATGCTTTAGTCATAAAAAAAAAAGAAAAGTGTAGCAAACTAGGTTTGGAGATCGAGAATAAAGTTACCCATAATAGAGTTGTCATTGTCTACTTTATTTAAGGATGGACCTATCT